TATGAACTGTATTTGCTCTCAGGTTAATCCAGTTTTATAACTTTCATTTCATTAGGATTCTGCATGTCATCCGTCTTTTAGCTCCACAATATATGACAGGAATACTGTATCCATTTTTTCACAGGACAATCCTGTAGAAGAAATGAAAATTAGCCTAAAAAAAAGACTTGCAGGGGCCCAAGATTATCTGTGTGCAAACATGATTTAACTCCCATTTTAAAAGCTGTGCTGTTTTTGTTGCTGCTAAAAGATTCACTTAATCCAAATGAAATACATCTAAAATAAAAACAACAGTCACAAGAATGATTTTGGATAGTTTTTTTTTTTGTTTGTTTGTTTTTTCCACAAAAGTTTTACAGTAAGTTTGAAGCATGGGGAACGGTACTTGAATGCATCATATCTCTCTGTATGGCAAAGCCAGGCGGGAAATCTTTAGGCAAGACCATTGGAGCAAATTCACTCCCACTTCCTTTTTCCCCTTTTTCCACAAGAGGAGGAGGAGGCCTTTGCTTGAATCACAATGCTCTCTTTCAGAGAGAGTGACTGGTAGAAATGTGTAAGGTAAAACAAGATGGGGAAACGTGGCTCTGGAGGATAAACTTTCCTCCTTCCAAGATGCCTTCTTCATAAATTGGGCCTTCTGAGAAATAGGTGGAGATGGCAATCAGGTTCTGAATTTCCCAGAATGCAGCACTGCATGTTGTTGCTGTATTCACTTACGTCTAATTAAAGAGTTGTCAAGAAAAAAAAAACCTTCCTCTGTCGTACAGTCTGCCAATTCCACTGAGCCTCTTGAGAGTGACTGAAATAATCAGTTTCACACATTAGTGCTGTCTGGTATGTCCACCCCGTGACATAGAGCAGGTCCAGGATCAGCCAGGCTGATAATTCCCACATCTGTAGAGCGGCTGATTAAGACCCGTCAGCATCAACCACTTCCTCTTTATCTCAAAGTGCACTTTTTTTTAAGGCCTCAGACTAACGGTGAATTGAAAACTGTTGGGGTTATTGAGGGCAGCAAAACAGTTCATTGGACAGTTAGAGAGAATAATCTTGAGGTTTCCCAGAGTTCATTACCGTTTGCCTTCAGCTGTGTGCTGCGCTTGCAGCTTTGTTGCCAGATCAGCTCCAGACCTCAATCAGACCTTCTGAAAGGATATGTGAGATGCACTACTGAATGATCTAAAACCTTTCTCTAGCTGGTCACCTATAATAAAGACAAAATTAGTTTTTATCATTCACAGCATAAATCTAAGAGCATATATTTGTTAACTAAAAAAAAATTAGCTGAAGAAAAATGCATTTAGACACATGATCTTAATACATCAAACCTAAAGGGGTCAGCAGGATGATTTGATACTTTTGAGGAGGGGATGATGCAAGTGATATCTATTAGACATATTCAGGCCAGTAGTCTTTGTTTGACGGTGTTTCTGGAGCTCTGCAGATTCACCATTCAGCCCGGGAGGCAGATAAACAGCTTGGTGGGAGTAACTTGTTATAACTGAAATAATCAGACACATTTTGATGCTGTTAAACCTTATCTGTTTAAACTTAAACTGCTTCCCAAACAGTTCTTATGTCCAATACATGTAGAAAATCCAACCTAAAATGTAGAGCTGCAAAGTTTGGATTTGTAGAAATTTTGTCCAGATTTATCATTAGTTGGATTAGGGGAAAAAATCCAGTTCAGAAAGTACTATAACATCTAGGGTGACGTTTAAAGGGGAGGATGTAAAAGAAAAAAACAACAATCCCTTCTATTAAATTTGCTTTAAAATTAAAAGTAAATCAAAATTTGTTTATGTCAAATAATGTAAATGTGTTAAATGCTCTAATTCAGTAAACTTGAACTCATTTCATTACCTTGTCTTGCCTAAACCAGTAGTCTCTTTCTTCTTACAAGAATAAACAAAATAATTAAACCTAAAGACACTGTGAATTGTTAAAATTTAGATATAAACATCAACTAAGTGTTAAAAAAAACTATTTAGTTTAATTTTCAGTATTTAGTGATTTTACAAACTTAAAGCTTTATAATGTTTTATCTTTAAACATATATATATTATTTTTAATCCAACTGCACGACATCATTGTTGTCAGTCTACAATAATTATGATTGGGTTAGGCTAATGTTAGCTCCTTTCCTCTCTGTTTTGCCATGATTTGCTGATTATCAACTTAAAACTGGTTCAGTCTTAACACACCTTTTAGAAAGAGTCATTCTGTTTAGCAAACAGGTTTCCGTGGTATTTTTGTTTAAATGTTCCTATTAATGATGTTCTGCCATAAGCCATGATATTATTTTTTAACATTGGTGGAACAAAATACTTGCTATCCTCTCCAAACTTCTGTAGAACTCCCTCTTCTTGTGATCCTGCCTCAACCGTGCTTGGGGACAAAAAGCAACTTATAAATGCTTGAACATTCACTTTTCCTGTGGACCTAGAGAAAGGGAAGCCGCAGAGGGGAGAACATTGATAACATTGCTAAAAGGACTTCATTCCCCAAAGCGCTTCTTAAAGGTATAGTGAAGGATGTACTTTTTCCAGGTGGACCATAAAAATAAGTGGTCCTCCTAATTGTCAATCATTCTGGTGAGCCGTGGTGAGTCTGACATATTGGGAAAATTGCAAATCTTTTCGACAGTACACTTGTATGAGTGATGCAAACTTTTAAAAAGCAACTTTTAAACAGAGCGTGCACAAGGAGAAATGGGCTGTTGCACACACGTGCACGGTCGTGCACGCTCTTGCATGTTTTAATAAGCATTCCCTCTTAAGAGAAGTAGTCCTTAAGCTATATTAAAATCCCAACTGCTGCAAAACAAACTGTCTGTAAAATTCTCTTTGAGTTTAGTTTCACCAGACCTACCAAAATAAGCTAGGTGGTCCTTACCTTAACTAGGCTATTCCCTCAGGAACAATCAATGTAAAAATTTAATTCTCTTTTATCATAGCATTATGTTATAGCATTATGCTACACTGAGTTTGGTTCACTCCCCCACAGCTGAGCATTTCTAAAAATAAAGCATGCCTGAAATGACCAACATTATGTTCTGGATCTAGATCAGACTTAAGAACACCAGGAGGAAGCAGGGGACGTTTTTAAATTCCACCAGGACACCTGGTTTAACCACAACTTAATTCCAAACATGCCGACAAGCCAAGCCCTAAGGTCAAACAGGTGCCAACATCGCTGACAATCTGACCTCTCCTCAATTAAGTCTTTTCCTTTACGTCTCCTTCATACCCTCACAAAAAGCCACAAGAACATCCAAAGAAATGTGACGCAAACTTCTGTAATTCACCAAACCTATAAGAGCCTACCACAAAGAACAAAAAAAAGGAGTATTAAATAATTATTGAAATTTTCCCACATAATACCACTTAGATGGGTTATTTTTTTTTTTTTTTAGAAATAACCAGTTAGATGGGTTATTTTGGTTAAAACAGGAACCAGAGGGTAGAAACTGGAATTTAGATGGGTTATTTTTTAGAAACAGAAGTTGTTGTTTATTGGGTACAACTGTTAGATACAGTAGGGTAGAAAAGTATATCCTCAGTAGTTGATCAAATGTAGTGGTCAAAGTGACCCTGAAAACTATTTTTATTCTTTTGTTGCATCTTAAAATAGTTTGCAGTCTTATTTTAAGCCACAATAGAAAGTGGTTCATGGGGAATAAATCTTTGGCACTTTGCCCTCAGATTTCCTGGTCAACGGCTGCATTGACTATGGACAACACAGAGGAACCACATCCACACTGGACTTCTTTATTCCTCAGTGCAGAATTGTATTTTTTCAAGCGGTAGGTAAATATAAATGGAAGCAAACAATTAAACACAAGGGTGAAAAATATAAAACACAAAAATAAGAATATGAGCCTGTGCATCGTTGAATGAGGAAACTAGTCATACTAGACTTTAAGCAACACAGATTCTCGGCCTCTTCACACTTTTTACCGACTGAAACATTTAGTTACCAAGGAAATCCAAA